TTTCTGTCAAAATAAAAGCTTGGTGTAAATATCATATTTATTATTTGAATTTTTAAAAGATGTTAATATTAGTGATGTAATTTGACAGTTGGATTGTAAAATTATTGTATTATTTTTCTTGAGTACTCTTTATATTTTAAAGTAAAATATTACAATAGTAGTATTTTGTGTTGTTTAATATTTTTATTTAATAATAATAATGATAACTAGATAAAAAAGTTCGTTAAGACAAACTTTAGGTTGGCTTGAGAAAGCCGGACCAGAAAGTTTAAAGCAGTTGTAAAAGCGTGAAGTTTGAAACTGAATGTTGATAACATGTTTCTGGCATGATTAGCATGTTTCTAGCATCATTAGCATGTTGCTAGCATGTTTTAACATGATTTGAATGTTACAAGCGTGTTTCTAATATGATTAGCATGTTGCTAACATGTCTTTGGCATGATTAGCATGTTACTAGTATGTTTATAGCATAGTTAGCATGTTGCTAGCATGTTTCCAACATTATTAACATGTTACTAGCATGTTGTTAACATGATTAACAAGTTACTTGCATGATTAGCAAGTTACTTGCATGTTGCTAGCATGATTAGCAAGTGACTACCATGTTGCTAGCGTAATTGGCAAGTTACTTTTATGTTTCTAGCATCATTAGCATGTTTTAATATTATTTGCATGTTACTAGCGTGTTTCTAATATGATTGGCATGTTGATAACATGTCTTTAGCATGATTAGCAAGTTACTGGTATGTTTATAGCATAGTTAACAAGTTGCTAGCATGTTTCCAACATGATTAACATGTTACTAGCATGTTGTTAACATGATAAGCAAAATACTGCCATGTTTCTAGCATGATTAGCAAGTTACTAGCATGTCCTTAGCATGTTATAAAATGTATTCATTCATTCATTTAATTGCAGTCATAATTTCTGTGTGTGTGTGTGTGTGTGCAGGAGTGAAGATCATCACGCAGCAGATGCACCCCAGTAAGATCTTACCCAAACCCTCCAGCGCCGCGCTGCCCAGCAGTAGCTCCGCCCCCATCATGGTGGTCAGCAGCAACGGCGCCATCATGACCACTAAACTGGTGTCCACTCCCACAGGTACCACAGACGTGTGTTACAGCACATGCATGAACAGAGAC